TGACTTAAGTATACATAAACACAACAATAAATAATAATAATAATAATAATAATAATAATAATAATAATAATAATAATAATAATAAAATAAGCAAAAAAAAAATGTTTTAGGTAAAAATATACCTGTACATATGGGAGGTACCCTAGAGCGTCCATGAAATAGTCTCTCCATTCTTGGGGAGTCCCTTGTACGGTGTGTCCCCAGCACGCATCCCCGTTGGCGGGGAGGCCAAATAGTATATGAACGTCCTGGAGAGTGATCGTGGCCTCCCCGAAGTCGAAGTGGAAAATGTTCGTCTCCGGACGCCACCTCTCCAGCAGGCATGTAATGACGGCATTGTTTGTCTGGATCCGCCCCATCCGAAACAAAGGCCCGAAACTGGCCTTCTCGATCACCTCCCAAGTCCGGGCATTCTGCTTGTTGCCCTCCAAGGCAACCCAGAACTGAGTGTCTGCACGGCGTGGCTTAACCACACAGTGGCGAAAACTCGGTGCGTCCTCAAATACCGCCTTGGACCGGTGACAGTTCTGAAGATATAGAAGTGAGGGGTCGCTGGGGCCGGGGTGTGGGGTGTAGGGTTTAGGGTTCGAGGATGACGATGTTATTTTCTGCAAAAATGAAATCAGCGTAAATCTTTGCAGCTCTTTCTTGAAATACATTAGAATAAAATAATAGTTATTCAATAGAAAGGGAAAAAGAAAATGTAGTCCTTCTTGAGAAAATATAATAGATAAACTCGATATTACATTTATTTCTACGTTATAACATTATGAATTATTTTGTTTTTGAACATTAGGTGTTGGCTCAATATATCATAGGTCCAGAAATTAAGTCAGGAGATGGTGAATAATGCTAGGTACATGCAAATTGAATTTTCAGACATTATCAACTTTGAATTTGCATGATCATAATTAGCAAGATTAAAGACCTTAAGAAAATCTTTACTTTAATATCATAAACACACAATTAAAAATAAAAATAGTTTTTTTATATGATAATTTTTTGTTTGACCAACAACAGCATGCATATAATGATGCTGTCTAAAAATGTCTCTCGAAAATTCTCTCGTCGACTTCAACCCTTTAACGGCGACTTTCGACCCCGGGGTCGATCCGCCGGAGCACAGCGTGAATATGGATTTTCCATCGCTAGCCTCGAGTGTTCGCTCGGCATTGAAACGACCGAGGACCCGTAAATTAGAAGAATTTCTGGAGCAGCAAAATCCTCCGCCGCCGAACCCTCTAGATGAACCCCTCGCGGATTCACCCGCCGCAGCGAAGCCTTCTCCCCCACGGTGGACATTTCGTGATATGGTCAATAAGAAAAAATCCCACGTGTCCATAGAAGAGGAAATTGCAATGTCTGATGAGGAAGAAGAGGAGGTTTCAGTAGATTTCTCCAACCCGGTCCCGGAGGTCAAGATTGCTCAGTGCTTCATAGATCGAATCCATAAGAAATGGCAGAATGCGGTGGTGATTAAGCCTTTCGACGAGTCCATCACTATGGCCTCGCTATACAACCGCCTGACCAAATTGTGGCCGTTCATGGCCGGTTGCAACATGATGGATTTAGACAACGGCTTCTATCTCATCCATTTTCAACTCCGCGAGGACGCGGTGAAAGTCCTTACCGGTGGGCCGTATGTCATTGGAAGTGGCTATATGCATGTCCAGCCGTGGAACATTAACTTTGATGCCACCCAAGCCGAAGTTAAGACAACAGTCGCGTGGATTCGATTGCCCAGAATGCCCGCCCACCTCTACCATCAGAAAGTATTCCGTACTATTGGACGAATTGTGGGTAAGGTCGTGAAAATAGATCAGCAAACGGCAGCACTCACTCGGGGTAAGTTCGCACGCCTTGCAGTGGTCGTGGATATTACCAAACCGCTGTGTGTCAACTTCACCCTCAATGGCAAACAACAAAGGGTTGTCTATGAGAACATGCCCGTTATTTGCTTTCAATGTGGAAGACTTGGCCACTCAAGTTCCTCGTGTCTTTACCACCCGAGACCCCAAGATAAGGCCACCAACTCTGAAACAGGTCAGTCCGATAGCCCTAAGGAGGTGACCGGAGACTGCGATAAAAATGCGACCATCGACACCGGCGACCCCTCTTCGTACGGCCCATGGATCCAGGTCCCACAACGCGTGCGACAACAGTATTCCCGGCGCGATAAGGGGACGTTTCAGAGCCCTAAAATTCCGCAAGCTAATTCCAATCATGGATCTCAATTTGGGGTTTTGGAAAAGGTAACGCATCTGGAAACAACATCAAAATTTGAATTCCGCACCCAATCAGTGGAGAGATCGGCGGGGACAGATAACTTACCAAAGTGGACGGCTGGAAATCCGAGTGAGCGGGAATGGCGTACCGTATCGAACAAGAAAAAAGGCAAAGCGCACGTGACCAATCAAGGGACCGTGGAAACAGTTGGGCCAAAACAACAGGGTGGGCCCAAAATCGGATCTTTATCAATGACAAGAGTGGCCCAGTCTCAAAGAATCAAAACTACCGAGCCCAACATGAACATGCAGAGCAGACCCGGGCCTTCGACCCATAACCCATCTCAGAACCAAGTGGAATCAATCGTAGTAGGATCATGTTTGAATCCAAGCAAACACCGGGCAATTATTGTCGACGAAGAACATAACAACATGCTTCCCTCCATCGCACGCCCCCATGATATCGTAGACCCAAAGGACGATGAGGTGATGTCAGAGGGTGAACATGAGGTCCATCTCCAAGAACCGTGGCCGGAGGAACAACAGCTGCGGCAAGGCCAACCGGAGAACTCGAACGAGACGACCCAACCTATGGATAAAGAGGATGAACCGCGGACGAGCGGTCCACGCGTTGATTAAGAGCAGTGGGTCTACCATCTGTATAGTTTCCCCATGAATTTTAAATCTTGGAATGTGCAAGGAGCTGGTTCGCCCGCATTTTGGGGAGTCTTCTCTACTTTGGTTCGACAACATAATCCAGATGTCGTTGCTCTTTATGAGCCGCGAATCAGTGGGGCCACCGCTGACAAGTTCGTGCGTTACAGCAAATTTTGAAAATTCATTCCGAGTGGAAGCCAAAGGGTTCTCTGGAGGGATTTGGTTGCTATGGAGAGATAGGGTGGATGTCGAGGTGTTTTATTTTTCTAAGCAATTGGTCCATGTACGGGTGGGTAAGGATGACGACGAATGCCTTGTCTCTTTTATCTATGCTAGCCCTAATGCGACTATTCGACGCAACCTTTGGTCAGAGCTGGAGAGGTTAGCCTCTGGAATATCCACACCGTGGCTTATTGGAGGGGATTTCAACTGTATGCTACATTCTTATGAGAAGGTCAGGGGATCCCGAGCTTCGTGCAATACTAGCCCAGAGTTTGCAAATTGGATATTCTCCAACGGGATCCAAGAGGTGGCTACACACGTACATCTTTACACGTGGGAGAGGAATGGCCAGTCTGGTAGAGTCATGGAAAGACTGGATAGATTTGTGGCAAATTTAGAATCGATGGAGAAATACGAGACGAGCCGGGTGCGTTTGCTTCCCCGCATTCAATCGGACCATTCGCCCTTGAAAGTTGTATTCGGCCAGCATAATTTCGCACCACAGGGCGTGAAACCATTTCAGTTTCTACCATCATAGCAACTCCATCCCGAATTTCCCGCTATGCTCCAAGGCTCGTGGCAATCTGGTTTATGTTTCAACGAGGCGGCCCAGAAGTTCACGGAAACGGCCACAGAATGGAACACCACGGTTTTTGGAAATATTTTTAGCCGAAAGAAGCGGCTCCTCGCTCGCATTGGAGGTATCCAACGGAGTAGTCGGTATTATTTCTCGGCAAAGCTAGTGGATCTAGAACGACAACTGCGAACAGAGCTCGACGACGTTATCCTTCAAGAAGAGCTACTTCTCCTTCAAAAAACTACGAGGGATTGGGCGCATATGGGAGACAGAAACACATCCTACTTTCACCGACAGCTTAAATTTCATCGACGCAAGAGCAGGATAACGGAATTGGTGAATGATATGGGCCAAACCATTACCGACCAACAGGCCCTTCAGCACCTGGCCACGAAATTTTTTCGAAAAATCTATACAGAGGGGCAAGCACCGATTGGGACGGAGGTGGCGCCCAACTTGTTCACACGGTACGACGAGGAGCACATGCAGGCCATGAAGGTATAAATATCGAATGAAGAAATTTTCTCGGCGCTCCAAGGGATGGGATCTTTAAAAGCACCGGGGACTGATGGCCTTAATGCGTTATTCTTTAAAAAGAATTGGGCCATTGTGGGTCCGTCAGTTCGGGATTTTATTCGTAAAATGTGGCTTGAGGGTGAGGTTCCCAGTGAGATTAATCAGACATTGCTTGTTCTTATCCCCAAAGTTGATAATCCTTCAACCATAAAGCAATTCCGACCTATTAGCTTGCTGAATGTCATCTATAAGTTGTTCACGAAGGTGCTAGTCAATCGAATGAAAGACTCGCTTCCCTCCCTAATTCATCCGGCTCAGGCTAGCTTTGTCCCGGGCTGTCGGATCATAGAAAATGTGGTTGTAGCACACGAATTACTCTATTCCATGCGCCGAAAGTAAGGAGCGACTGGTCATATGGTCATTAAGGTCGATCTTGAGAAGGCCTATGATTTCCTAAGGTGGGAGTTTATTCAAGATACCTTGAATCTAGCCGGCTATCCCAGATCATTCATCAAAGCTGTTATGGCTTGCGTCTGGTCGTCTTCCATGAGTCTTCTTTGGAATGGTACGTTAGGTGAGGAGTTTCAGCCCACGAGAGGAGTTCGACAAGGTGAACCTATGTCTCCATATCTTTTTGTTCTTTGCATGGAAAGACTGGCCCAATTCATCGAACAAGAAGTTCATGCGAACGCGTGGAAGCCGATCTCTGTTGGGAGAGGGAAGGTTAAGGTACCGTTTCTAATGTTTGCTGATGATCTCCTCCTATTTTTAGAAGCCTCGGACGAACAGGTAGTGATTATTAAGCAAACTCTCAACCGATTCTTTGATATGTCGGGCTTAAAGATAAGCTCAGAAAAAACGCAAGTATACTTTTCACGAAATGTGAGACCAGACGAGCAGCATAGATTAGCAAATGCCCTTGGGTTTAAGTGGAAGAATAACCTAAGAAAGTACCTAGGTTTCCCAGCCATCCATGGTCGGGTTACAAAATCGACTTTTTCCCACATCTTGATAAAAGCCGAGGACCGACTAGCGGGCTGGCAACTTAAGACCCTATCACTGGCAGGACGAGTCACACTTACCCAGTCCGTGATTAGCTCATTGCCGAGAAAATGGCAGATCTGCAATTATAAAAATCGGGCTTCGCAACTTTGCCATCCCGCAAATGGGCTTCGCAAATTGGCCATTATCAAACGATTCTCACACGCAATTTTGCCCTGAGATCGATTTCTTGTACCCAGCCCTATTTTCATTCCCGTTTTACCCCTCACCCTATCCATTCAATAATTCGATCCAGGCCGCCGCCGCGCTGCGTCCAGGCCGTCGACGCTCCAGGCTGCGTCGCCCCTAGCGCCCCTCCGCCCCCAGTGACTCTAGCCGTCCGCGCCAGGCTGCCGACACTCAGTACCGACGCCGTCTGCCCCCAACATCTCCGGCCGACCGCGCTGCTCAATGGTAGAGAACTTGCAAGATCTGAGCCAAGGGTACGTATTGTTGCTCTTGTGTTAATCTAACTATGAGCAATCGTGTAGATTAGACTCGAAGAGCGTAGATGTGCAGGTATTCTAACTGTGTCACCTCATTTTTGTATACTAGGCTCGATGGGGAGCCTGAGCTTAGCTTAGCGCTTGTAGAACTCCCTGCACGGCATATGCAGAGAAGTCTTATTGATTGGGATACGCTACGCATCGAGGAAAATCGAGATGATGAGGGAAGAATTGAGATCATCGATGATGAGGTGATGTATGAAATGTTAGGCTTTAAGGCTCAGGATGAGGAGGCTGAGAAGGCAAGGGAGGATGCTGAGAAGGCAAGGGAGGCTGAGAACAATGCTACTCCTCAGAGTAATGAGGAAATTGATACAACTGAGGCAGCCATTGAAGTTGATGACTATTTACCAGGGGAGAGGATCGTGGTGCATGATCCAAATCGTCCTAGGATGGATCTTGGCACAGTTTATCCTAACATGAAGGAGTTCAGATTGGCTATGATACAATTTGCTATAAATAAAAAGTTTGAACTACACATTGCCAAAACAGATCCAAGTAGATACATTGGCGGTTGCAAAGCAATGGGTTGTCCTTGGCATATTGTTGGGCGTCGACAGCCTGATGGGTGCACTGTTATGGTACTAACTTGCATTTTGGTTTTCAATTTTTTATTTCAAGAACGCAGTGTTTATTGTCTATTTTTTTTTGACTATTTTGGTACTAACTCTATATTGTTTGCTTTGACTATTTTTTTTTATTTGCAGGTGACAGTGCTTGTTGATGAGCATAAATGTGCATCTAGTGATAAGAGGAAGACTACCACACCAACTACTGCTTGGGTTGCTTCAAAGGTAATACATCACCTTAGGAGGAAAATAATTATGGGTACTAAGGAACTCCAAGAGGTTTTAGAGCAGGAGCATGAATGTAAGATTGTTTATGACACTGTACAGAGAGGAAGGCATGTTGCTTTGAGACAACTGCATGGAGATTGAGAAGGAAGCTTTCAGCTCCTATTCAATTGGAAAGCAGAGGTCCTGAAAAGGTGTTCAGGCAGTGTTATTGAGATTGGCATTGTGGAGGTAGAAGGCTTGTTCTATTTTCATAGATTTTTCTGTGCATTAAAACCTTGCATTGAAGGTTTTTTAGAAGGATGCAGGCCATACCTTAGCATAGATTCTACTGCACTTAATGGTAGATGGAATGGCCATTTAGCAGCAGCTTGTGGTTTAGACGGTCACAACTGGATGTACCCAGTTGCTTTTGGCTTCATTGATGGTGAGACCACAGACAACTGGACTTGGTTTATGACTCGGTTGCATAAGGCCATAGGAGATCTTCCTGTTTTGGCTATTTCATCAGATGCATGCAAAGGTCTAGAAAATGCAGTTAAGAATGTGTTCCCACATGCTGAACATAGGGAATACTTTAGACATCTGATGAACAATTTTATTAAAAGGTTTGGTGGTGATGTATTCTCAAAGATGTATCCTGCAGCTAGAACTTATAGAGAATCAGTTTTCCAATATTTTTACAAGTTAATCATTGATGCTTGTCCTGAAGTGTTGGTTTGGATGGAGGCTCACCATTACAAGCTGTGGATGAGATCTGCCTTCAATCCTGAGATTAAATGTGATTATATCACTAATAACCTTGCTGAAGTGTTTAACAATTGGATCAAAGACTGGAAAGACCTGCCTGTTATCGAGCTTGCAGACAAACTCAGAGAGAAGATTATGGTGTTGTGGGCAAAAAGGAGAAAAATTTCACAGGCACTTAGTGGGAAGATCCTCCCAGCAGTTGTGCAGCAGTTGAATGCTAGAACTAGAGGACTTGGGCACTTGACTGTTGTAGATGGTGGTAGTGATTCAGCAGAAATCTGGGACACCTCAAACACTCACACTAGACATGTTGTTAAGGCTCATATGCATGAGTGCACATGTCTTGAGTGGCAGCATACTGGTAAGCCTTGCCAGCATGCTTTGGCTTTGATTATAAGTGCACAGATTGTTAATGTACCCATGGAGAATTTTGTGCATGAGTATTACTCTGTCAAGAGGTTCCAAGCAGCTTATAAGAGACTTATAGAGCCACTACCTGATAAATCACAGTGGCCAGATGTTGAGTTGCCTTTTGGGGTAAAGGCTCCCCTTGACAAGAAGGCTGCTGGTAGGTACAGAAAACTGAGGATCAAAGGCTTCCTCGAAGGTGGTAACATCAAGGGAAAGAAAGCAGCCAAGGAAAAAGCAAATGAGGCAGACAAACAAGCTGCTGATGAGGCAGAAAAGGGCAAGAAACAAATGATTAGAGACAAAAGAAAGTGCAATGGCTGTGGAGAATTGGGTCATAGTGAAACAAGCTACAAATGTCATCTTAATGGCACTAAAAAAAGGCCAAGGAAGCCTAGGAAAAATACAACAAAGTATGGTGCCAATGCAAAGATCCCAACAAAGAGAGCAAAGAAGGGAGAGACATCTCAGGAAATGGCTGCTACTGCTACTGAACCACCAACCCCAAATTTTCTCAATGAACAAGCAATGGATGCAACAGCCCCAAATTTTTTCATTCAACAAGCAATGCATGCACAAGCCCTAAATACACTCTCCAGCCCCACAAGGCTCACAAGGGAGCAGATCATAGAAAACAGCCCCACAAGGCTCACAAGAGGGTATGGAACACTTTATTTCTCTTTCTTTTAAACTCATACAAGATCAACAAATGACTTATAGTGCCACTTTTGTTGCAACCAACTCCAAACCCTGCTAGGTGAAGCCTCACCCGACAACACGGTGCATAAAAAGAGTCCAGCAAAAAAACTGAAGCCAAGGAAAATGAAGACCAAGTGAACTGCATTGTGTATCTTAGTTATCTGTCATCTCGTCATGTATCTGGACCTTATTTAAGTAATCTGGACTTGTATTGTGTGACTCTGGACCTTATTTATCTGTTGTATTGCTACCTATTTGTTGTGTGGATCTGGACCTTTTTTGTCTTATATATTGTTACCTATCTGGTTGTGTTATATTGTTGTGTACAAATTCTTTCCAAGTTCAAGCAAAACTCTGTCAATTTTTTTAAAAAATTCAAACAATAATCTGTCAATAACATCTCACATAATTTGCATGAAACAAGTGAAAAAAGAACACATAATTCCAGGAAAGCATCATCCTTCATTACATAGTACTTAGTAGTCATTACATCAGATGGTTCAGTTGCACTACAACACAAGGTTCCAGAACACATCACTAGCTAACACATGTTTACAGAACACATCACTTGCTAACACATGGTTGCACTAACAAGTACTTCAAGCACATGGTTCACTTCCACATACAAGCAAACACAATACCAATCAGGACACCAACGATACACATGAAAACAGAATAGTCGATCACAATTTGCTTCGGCTCAGGCTTCGGCTCATGAATAGGCTCTGCAGGCTTCGGCTCAGGCTTGGCGCGGACGTGGCGTGGGGAGCGGGTGATGCGGAAGTGGCTAGGCAGCTCAAGAACGCGGCTAGCCGGGCCTATCACGCACGCAAGAGGCAAGCACGAGCGACGGTAGAAGTACGTGTGCTGGAGCGAAGTGCGC